AGACGCTAGTACACACCTGATAGAGTGTTGAAAATTACAGGCTGGGATGCCTGGGTGTCTCAGTTGGCTAAGCGTCTGCCATCAGCTCAGATCATGATCCCAGAGTCCTGGGATCCAGTCCCTCATCGGGCTCCTTGCTCAGCGGGGAGCCTGCTTCTCCCTCTGCCTGTCACTCCCCCTGCTTGTGCTCTTTCTCTCTCTCTCAGACAAATAAATAAATAAAATTAAAAAAAAATTACAGGCTGACAATACCAAGTATGGATAAGGATGCAGAACAGTAATGCTCATACACTGTGTGGGAATATACATTTGCACAATCATATTTCTTTCTAACCAACAGAGTATGGCAGAGGTGATCAGATGCCACTCCTGTAATTCTTCTGCATTATATAAAACTTGCCAGCAGACTGTAGTTTCTAGAGTCTTCCTCTCTCTGGCATTGAAGCAGCAAGCTTTCATGAATAGTGATGTGGGGCCAGTGAGCTAATGATTAAGAAAGAATTCTTGAGGGGCTCCTGGGTGGCTCAGTCGGGTAAGCATCTGCCTTCGGCTAAGGTAATGATCTTGGGGTCCTGGGATTGAGCCCAGCATTAAGCTCTCTGCTCAGCAGGGAGTCTGCTACTTCCTCTCACTCTCCCTCTGTGTTCTCTTGCTCTCTCTCAAATAAATAAAAATCTTTCTTTTAAAGATTTTATTTATTTATTTGAGAGAGAGAATGAGAGAGAAAGAGAGAGAGCATGAGAGGGGGAGGGTCAGAGGGAGAAGCAGACTCCCTGCCGAGCAGGGAGCCCGATGCGGGACTCGATCCTGTGACTCCAGGATCATGACCTGAACCGAAGGCAGTCACTTAACCAACTGAGCCACCCAGGCGCCCTCAAATAAATAAAAATCTTAAAAAAAGAGGAAGAATTCTTGAGACGTTTTTGGTGCAAAAAGGTGCTTTTATTATAGCACAGGGACCTATGGTCAGAAAGAGCCACACTAGGATTGTGAGGAGTAACTGATTATCTCTAAGGAATTTGTGCATGTTAAAAGCAAGGTCTCCAGGACCTTGGAGGGCTAGCTATTAAGATAAGGTTGCTTTTAGTCTTCAATGAAACATCAACAGTAAAGTAGCCATGAGTTCCTTGAGGAATGTCACATTCTACATATCTTGGGGATTTATCAGTGGGCTGCAAGTTGTAAGGAGACTTAATTTTAGCTACATTTCTCTTGCCTTTGTGCTCATCAAATGTACAGCCAAAGGAAATTAAGTTTGTCAATTAAGTTGCCAAACCTAATGGAGTTTAGAAGTAGACCCTTATTCCCCAGTTGAGTCTCTGATGAAGACCCAGCCCTGGATAACATGAACTCAGCCTTGTGAAACCCTAAAACAGAGAACCCAGCTAAATCATAGAAACTGAGATAATGTGTGTTGTAAGCCACAAAGTTTATGTAATTTGTTAAAGAGCATGGAAAACTAATATAATCCATTTGGAAAACAGACCTATTATGTTGAGTGATATGTACACCCAAGGACTCCATAATTCCACTCTTTGGAATGTATACAACAGGAATGCTTGCACATGGGCACCAAGAAATATGTCCTAGTACAAGGATATGCAGATACGCATTATTTGGAATAGCCCCAAACTAAGTGAACAGAAGTATACGTAATAATATGCATGAATCTCACAAAACATTTTTAAAATCCTGTATGATTTCATTTCTTTAAGTCAAAAACATGCAAAATTAAACTAGGAATCAGGAATGAATACTTAGGTGGTACAAGTGTAAAGAAAGGCAAAGAAGTGATAACCATAAAACCCAGGATACTGCTCCCTTTTAAGTGGGGAGCCAGGAATTTGTGATTGAGAAAGCGTACATGGGTTGTGTGTGGGGGTCTCATTTTAAAAGTTGTTTAAAATTTAACAATAGCCAAACTGTGGAAAGAGCCAAGATGTCCATCGACAGATGAATGGATAAAGAAGATGTGGTATATATATACAATGGAATATTATGCAGCCATCAAAAGGAATGAGATCTTGCCATTTGCAACGACGTGGATGGAACTGGAGGGTATTATGTTGAGTGAAATAAGTCAAACAGAGAAAGACATGTATCATATGATCTCACTGATATGAGGAATTCTTAATCTCAGGAAACAAACTGAGTGTTGTTGGAGTGGGGGTGGGGTGGGAGGGATGGGGTGACTGGGTGATAGACACTGGGGAGGGTATGTGCTCTGGTAAGCGCTGTGAATTGTGCAAGACTGTTGAATCTCAGATCTGTACCTCTGAAACAAATAATGCAATATATGTTAAGAAAAAAAAAAAAGAAGAAGAAGGTAGCGGGAGGGGAAGAATGAAGCGGGGGAAATCGGAGGGGTGGATGAACCATGAGAGACGATGGACTCTGAAAAACAAACAGGGTTCTAGAGGGGAGGGGGGTGGGAGGATGGGTTAGCCTGGTGGTGGGTATTGAGGAGGGCACATTCTGCATGGAGCACTGGGTGTTATGCACAAACAATGAATCATGGAACACTACATCTAAAACTAATTATGTAATGTATGGGGATTAACATAAGAATAAAAAATATATATATAAAAAAATAAAAAAATAAAAGTTGTTTAAAATTTAAACTATAGGGGGGAGCAGAAGAGAGATTCAGAGCACAGGGAAGACAAGGAGGCAGCCCGGCCATGGAATGGAGAAACAGGACTGGTCCAGGTGGAGTAAGCACGAGTGTGTATGTACAGCAGCACATACATATCCATACACATACACACTACATACACACTGTACTGTATGTACACACCAACACACACACACAAACACAATACACCACCATGCTTTGGCACACACACCAAAGATACACATATTTGCACACTTACGCTACCACACCATGTCATCATCCCTGCACCCCACCAGACACACACACCACATATACACCACCCACCCACCCCCACACTACACACATGTCATACACATATCACACCACATGCACAATGGTTACTGCCAGATCCAGACATCTCAGGGGGATCTCACGCAAAATCAGACCTTTACTTTGCTGTGACACTTAGACAAGTCTTGGCATCATGTTGAACTCTGAAGGGGGCCAATGAGGGAAGCCTGGTTCTAGCTACTTATGCATAAGAAAGGAGTTCTCAGCATGGTGCCAGGTACAATGGTTGGTGCTCCATGGATGAATCTGGAATGGCTACATAGTCACTGACTTTCATCTTGGGGTATTAGGAAGGGCTACACTTAGCTGTGTGTGCTGACCTCCTATGTGATTTAACCCAGGGCTCCCTTAAAGAGTGGTCTCCACGGGGGGGCACCTGGGTAGCTCAGTCAGTTAAGCGCCTGACCCTTGATACCAGCTCAGGTCTTGATCTCAGGGTCATGAGTTCAAGCCCTGTGTTGGGCTCCACGCTGGGCATGGAGCCTACTTAAAAAACAAAACAAAAAACCACAAAAAACCAAACCAAAACCAAAACAAAACAAAAACAGTGCAACCTGGATGGCTCAGTCGGTTAAGCATCTGCACTTCAGCTCAGGTCATGATCCCAGGGTCCTGGGATCAAGCCCTCATTGGGCTTCCTGCTTGCAGGGATAGAGAGAACTTAAAAATAAAATCTTGGGGCACCTGGCTGGCTCAGTCAGTGGAGTGTGCGACTCTTGACCTTGGGGTTGTAAATTCGAGCCCCAGGTTCGGTGTAGAGATTATTTAAAAATAGAATCTTTAGGGGTGCCTGGGTGGCTCAGTTGGTTGTGTTCAACTCTTGGTTTTGACTCAGGTCATGATCTCAGGGTTATAAAATTGAGCCCAAGTTGGGCTCTGCACTGGGCATGGAGCCTGCTTCAGATTCTGTCTCTCCCTCTCTAAAAAAATAAATAAAAATAAAATCTTTAACAATAAATAAAATCTTTAAAAATAAAATTTAAACTATAAATTTGCTTCCTGTTGTGAAAATTAGAAAGGGAAACCTCACTAAAATGGAGTCAGGAGGCCAGAAGGGGTAGGTCTCATGCTGTACCACTTCATGTTAACCATAGGAAGAACTGTCAATTATAGTCCCCCAACAGGAAAAGATGTACATAGCATCTCCTACAAGAAATGGACTACCCAAGCAATCTAGCCAATGAGAAACTCCTCATTACTCTCAACTCTTACTTTTGTCCAATTGACTTTCATTCAAAACAACTCCTCCCAACTTATTCCTTGTTTTCCATGAATAACATTCCTCTCCTTTGTTGGACTAGCCTATGGTTTTGCCACAGTTTGCTTGTCCCAAATTGTAATTCTTGGCTATTCCTCAAGAAACCTATCTTTGCTGGTAAAATAACTTATTTTTAAGGTCAACACTTTTTAAATTGTATTTCTTATTTTTTAAAGAATGGTTTAAAAAGAAATGATTGAATGACTCTCCACAGGTTTCAGTTTGTAAATATACTAGAAATATTCCAATGTGGCGTTGACATGGCATGTTTTCTTGTATGTTAGTTCTACCAACTGTCCTCCTCCCCAATAGAAACAAAAGTTCTGTGAAGGTATGACTCAAGTTAATGAATGAATGAAAGGAAAAGCATTATTAAGGGAAATGATGGTAACCACATAAAACTAAAACCAGCAATCGAAATAAATAAAAGATCTAAACATGTTCATACCTAAGGAAAAACTAAATGTCCTTTACTATTTGTCATATAAAAACAGAAAGGTTTAAAAAAATAAAGTCAACAGTCCCAAGATTAACAAGATAATACTGAAAAACTGAGAAGGGGCAAGAAAGTTTTTTAAGAATAGGGAGGAAGGATGTATCAGGTATCTACTGCCGCATAACAAAGCACCTCCAAGCGTAGTACATCCTTGAAGCTCCTGCGAGAACTCAGAGAAGAGCATTTTTTTGAGAGGGAGCTGACTGGCGGGTCAGGGGTGGGTGGGCACGAAGCTCCGCCCAACAGACTCCGGGCCGTTCTGGTCCCGCCCCCACCCCGGTCCTTCCGCCTGGCTCCTGCCCAGGGTCCCTGGAGTGGAGCCGGCGGGGCGTGCCCAGCTGCAGTGCCTTGGGCCAACGTTAGGACTTCTCTGCGGAGGCCAGAGGACGCGGCCACCGCCCCTCCCGCTGCCTCTGCGCTCCTAGGCCCCGCGGGAGCCTTCTACTTTCCAAGCCCCGAGACCGGAAGTGGGGTGCGCCTCCCCCGAACGGCCGCCATCTTCCCTCTAACGGCACCACGGTTTTTCTCGTTATTTGCTTCCAGCACAGAAGAGTGGCTGCAGGTGCAAGGTCCGGGAGGGAGCTGGGAGAAGGGACTCGGGGAGGGGGCGGGCCTCTGGGAAGGCGGGGTTTCGGTGAGGGTGGGCAAACGGGGTCGGGGGCGGGATCTCTGTGGGGGCGGGGCCCTCGGAAGGCGGGGTCTCAGTGAGGGTGGATAAATGGGGCGCTGGGGGCGGGGCCTTATCGGGGGTGGGGCTCTTGGGGGCGGGGTCTCAGAAGGGCCCAACGGGCTATGGGCGGGGCCTTAGGGGCGGGGCCTCAGCGGGCGCGGGGTCTCGGTCTCGCGGGCCAGGAGATCGACGGCCGTTGGTCGCCTCTCCGGGTGCTTCGGTTTTTCTGAACTGGGGATGCCGTTGGTTTCGGCGGGTAAGAGGCCTTGGTGAAATTTATATCAAGGAAGTCCCTTTCTGCCTTCGTAACACAAGAGAATTTCACTTGCGGCTTGCTTTTGTGGGAAATTGTTGAGGTGAGACTATCTTAAAACTTTTTTTCGGTTAATTTGATAAATTCATTTGGGAAAATGCTTCCTCAGGATTCTAGCGCGAGTGCCAATAAATAAGTGTAATCAAGAAAAGAGAATGAAATAGAGCAAGTGAAAATGTAAACAACAAGCCTTTGGATTGAAGAAAGATTATTCAGCTCCGCACTTCCCCAGTCGGCTGCAGCTCCTCGGGAGCCTGACACCGCGGCAGAGCTTTAAAACATGGGGATCGCTTACTCTCGATATTATTATTATTTTTTTTTAAAGATTTTATTTATTTATTTATTTATTTATTTATTTATTTATTTATTTATTTTTAAAGATTTTATTTATTTATTCATGAGAGACAGAGAGAGAGACAGAGGCAGAGGGAGAAGCAGGCTCCCAAGGAGCAGGGAGCCCGATGCGGGACTCGATCCCAGGACCCCGGGATCATGACCTGAGCCGAAGGCAGACGCTCAACCATCTGAGCCACCCAGGCGCCCCTTTATTTATTTTTTTGACAGAGAGAGGGAACACAAGCAGGGGGGAGTGGGAGAGGGAGAAGCAGGCTTCCCGCAGAGCAGGGAGCCCGATGCGGGGCTCGATCCCAGGACCCCAGGACCACGACCTGAGCCGAAGGCAGACGCTTAACGACTGAGCCACCCAGGCGCCCCCCACTCTGGATATTATTATTATTATTATTTTTTTAAAGATCTTGTTTATTTATTTGACAGAGACACAGCGAGAGCAGGAACACAAGCAGGGGGAGTGGGAGAGGGAGAAGCAGGCCTCCAGCCCAGCAGGGAGCCCGATGCAGGGCTGGATCCCAGGACCCGGGGGTCATGACCTGAGCCGAAGGCAGACGCCCAACGACTGAGCCACCCAGGCGCCCCCCACTCTGGATATTATTAAAACGGGTTTTGGTGGCATATACTTGCGGCTAAAGCCTAATAGAAGTCTAAAGCATAAGTGAAATACATGAAATTGTGTGTCTTTAAAACACAGGGATTTCCAGGAAAAAGGAGGAAGCAGCTTTCCTAATACCAGTAGCGGAAATTAGAATTTACCAATTTTAAAAAGAGGTGGCCAAATGGATTTTTTTTTTCTTGTGAGGTTAAAAAGTCACATATGGGAAGTCGGAAGAAAAATTCTGGAGGAAGTTCAGCAACACAGGCTACTTGTTTCTAAAAATAATGTTTCTCACATTTGCCTTTTTTTTTTTTTAAAGATTTATTTATTTAAAAGAGAGAGAATGAGAGACAGAGCATGAGAGGGAGGAGGGTCAGAGGGAGAAGCAGACCCCCCGCCGAGCAGGGAGCCCGATGCGGGACTCGATCCCGGGACTCCAGGACCATGACCTGAGCCGAAGGCAGTCGCTTAACCAACTGGGCCACCCAGGCGCCCTCACATTTGCCTTTTAAGAATTTTTCTTAAAAGCTTCAGAAATAACACTGGTGGTTTATATTGTGACAGGCATTTAAGTTAACGTGTTAACGTTTGTATTGCCTGCCTGCCTTCCTCCCTTCCTTCCGATTTTATTATTTATTTGCCAGAGAGAGAGAGCACAAGCAGGGGAAGCAGCAGGGAGAGGGAGAAGCAGGCTCCTCACTGAGCAAGGAGCCCGATGTGGGGTTCGATCCCACCACGGACCCTGGGACCATGACCTGAACTGAAGGCAGACGCTTAACCGACTAAGCCACCCAAGCATCCCCCCCCCGCCCTTTTTAAAGAGATTTTATTTATGTGAGAGAGAGTGAGAGAGAGAATGAGCAGGGAGAGCAGCAGAGGGAGAGGGAGAAGCAGGCTCCTTGCTGAGCAGGGAGCCCAACAAGGGGCACCATCCCAGGACACGGGGATCATGACCTGAGCCAAAGGCAGACGCTTAACTGACTGAGCCACCCAGACGCCCCTGTGTTGGCGTTTCTATTGGAGGTGTGCACTTTCTCAATCTAGCTGTAAATGAACATTTTCCAGGGCCCACAGCAGAAGCTCATTAAGTACTGGGTATGAGTCTGGCCTGGGCAATCAAAAGAGGCACAGTGCTGTCCCCAGAGAGTGGGCTATTTAGATCAGAAACAGATATAAAATTGATGGGGGGAGGGTGTCCTGTGCCAAACAGGAGAGCTTAATATGGACAGACAGGGAAGACCTATTAGGAAGAACTGATTTATGAGAACTGAAGGATAAGTAGGACTGATTAGGCAGAGGCTTGTGGAGGGAGAGTGTTTGAGAGGTGGAAGAAGCTTCAAGTGCAGAATCCCAGAAGCAGGAGAGCCTGGTGTGTTGGGTGAACCTAGGAAAGAGAGGCCTGACCAGACTGGGTAGGGAGAGTGTTAGGAGAGGGAGGCTGGATGCTTTGGGATTTTTTTTTATATGTACAGCTGTCATCTATGAATAATGACAGTTGTGTTTATACCTTTCCAATCCTCAAACTTTTCATTTCCTCAAACTTTTCATTTTTTTTTAGCTTTATCGCCCTGGTGGGACCTCCAGTACCATCACCACATAAAGTGGTGACAGCTGCCATCCTTGTCTTTCCTCAGATTAAAAGCCGGAATTTTTCAACTTTTCACCGGTAAGCTATAGTTCCTTATTTTAAGATAAAACTTTTTGTTTGGAAACCACTGAAGCTTATAGGAGAAAACGTTACCAAAACAGTACAATGAAATCCCATTTGCTCTTTGTCTAGATTCAGCATTTGTTAATATTTTGCCACATTTCTTGTATCTCTGTACATATAATAATTACTGTTTTTGCTGGATTATTTGAGAGTCAGTTGCAGAAATCATAACCCTTTACTTCTGAAGACCTCAGTGTTCATATGTCTCCTAAAAACAGACGTTCTCTTTTATAACCTCAGTCTAATTACCACATTCTGGAAGGCGTAGGTTTTTTAAAAAACTGTTTTCTGGTAAAGATGTTCCCTTCTTTTTTTTTTTTTTTAAAGATTTTATTTATTTATATGACAGACAGAGACACAGCGAGATAGGGAACATAAGCAGGGGGAGTGGGAGAGGGAGAAGCAGGCTCCCCGCCGAGCAGCGACCCTAGCGGGGCTCGATCCCAGGACCCTGGGATCATGACCTGAGCTGAAGGCAGACGCTTAACGACTGAGCCACCCAGGCGCCCAAGATGTTCCCTTCTTATTTAACTTTTTTTTCCCAAAGCCATGGAATAGTGATTTTTTTTTTTTAAAGATTTTATTTATTTATTTGAGACAGAGAGAATGAGAGACAGAGAGCATGAGAGGGAGGAGGGTCAGAGGGAGAAGCAGACTCCCTGCCGAGCAGGGAGCCCGATGCGGGACTCGATCCAGGGACTCCAGGATCATGACCTGAGCCGAAGGCAGTCGCTTAACCAACTGAGCCACCCAGGCGCCCCTGGAATAGTGATTTTATCGAATACTTTTACTGAATGAATTCAGGTGATTATATGATTTTTCTCCAGTCTACAAATGTAGTGAATTCTTATAAGTGTTTTCATAAAGATCCTAAACCTAACTTGGATCCCCACATGGTTGTGGTAGATTCTCCTGCTCACTAGTACATTCAGTGTGTTAATACCTTCTTTCTGCTGTTTGCACTTATGCTCATGAATGAGTTGGGCTCCTTATTTTCCTTTCTTGTAACTATTATTATTCAGTGGCTCCTTGACTTAAGTTGTTTTTTTACTGTCAGTGTTCGGTTTCTGAGAATCCCATGACTGGGTCTCTTCTATGTCCTGGTAGAAACTGAGTTTTTCCAGAAATTGTGTGCTTGTGCTTATGTTAGTTCCTTGACTGAGGTGTTTGGACCACAGAGGTGTTGTGATTTGGACCAATACTCATGGGAGAGTGGAGTTAACGTTTGCAAGCTCTCAGAAGAGTTTTTTTCCCAGTAACCCAGCACTAAGGCCAGAAGAACCCTGGTTATCCTCCTCGTTCTCATTCAGCAAGCATTCCCACCAGGGGAGGGCAAGGCAGGTGTGTGAAAGGCCAGAGGTGGGAGAGTCTCTGCTGAGATTGGAATTTGGACTGTGTGCTGTATCCAAAGGAGGCATTCTAGAAGTTCTTAAACTGGGAAGGGGCACAATCAGATTTGCAGGCTTTTTTCCTCCCTCGTAGAATTCTGTTGACCTCATGGAACATTATTAACTATTAGGCATAGAGATACAAGAGAGCAAAGGAATCAGTCTGTAAAACATTGGAATCTTCCAGGCAGGAGGTGATAAAAGCCACAATTTGGGCACATTCTCTGCCATACAATGACGTTGCCTTTGTTTTTTTTTTTTTTTTTTTCCTGGGTAAGATAGTATATTTATTCTTTTTTTTTAATTATGTTAATCACCATACATTACATCATTAGTTTTAGATGAAGTGTTCCATGATTCACTGTTTGTGCATAACACCCAGTGCTCCATGCCGAACGTGCCCTCCTCAATACCCACCACCAGGCTAACCCATCCTCCCACCCCCCTCCCCTCTAGAACCCTCAGTTTGTTTTTCAGAGTCCATCGTCTCTCATGGTTCGTCTCCCCCTCTGATTTCCCCCCCTTCATTCTTCCCCTCCTGCTATCTTCTTCTTTTTTTTTCTTAACATATTGCATTGTTTGTTTCAGAGGTACAGATCTGAGATTCAACAGTCTTGCACAATTCACAGCGCTTACCAGAGCACATACCCTCCCCAGTGTCTATCACCCAGTCACCCCATCCCTCCCACCCTACCCCCCACTCCAGTAACCCTCAGTTTGTTTCCTGCGATTAAGAATTCCTCATATCAGTGAGGTCATATGATACATGTCTTTCTCTGTTTGACTTATTTCGCTCAGCATAATACCCTCCAGTTCCATCCACATCGTTGCAAATGGCAAAATCTCATTCCTTTTGATGGCTGCATAATATTCCATTGTATATATATACCACAATGATGTTGCCTTTGTAATGCACAATGATGTATGCTTTGTACCATCTAAAGAATGTAAGATTATGTGGATGTATTTCATAAGGCTGTAGATATTTGATTTAAAAAGCTCTTCCCGGGGCACCTGGGTGGCTCCATCGGTTGAGCATCTGACTCTTTTTTTTTTTTTTTAAGATTTTATTTATTTATTTGACAGAGAGAGACACAGCGAGAGAGGGAACACAAGCAGAGGGAGCGGGAGAGAGAAGCAGGCTCCCCACTGAGCAGGGAGCCTGATGCTGGACTTGATCCCAGGACCCCGGGATCATGACCTGAGCCGAAGGCAGACGCTTAATGACTGAGCCACCCAGGCACCCCGAGCATCCGACTCTTAATTTCAGCTCAGGGTTGTGAGATCAAGCCCTGTGTTGGGCTCCATGCTCAGTGGGAAGTCTACTTGAAATTCTCTCTCTCCCTCTCCCTTTGTCTCTCTCAAATAGATGAATCTTTGAAAAAAAATTAAAAAGCTCTTCCTTGGTTGGAAAGAAAGATTGGAAATAGATGAAATATGAATCTGTAGTCAGTAATGAGTGGGTCTAGAGTATGCTGTTGGCAGGGTTCCAAATGGAAGGCATTTGGTGTGTGTGGAGGTGAGGTAAAAGTCACTTGGATCAGTGAGATTAGCTGTGTGCAGAGGTGATGATTCAGCTACGTGCATTATTTCTGTTTGTACATGACTGTTTAATTTTTCTTGATTACACAAGTGATGCATGGATGTGTTGTTTTTCTTGTTTAACATTCAACTAATTCAGAAAACTATAGAGTAAAAATGTTAATGTTTCCCTTCACATTCTCCCTGCCAAGTGCACATGAAATACAGTGTCGTGCTTTTCTCTAGAGGCCTCTGGTGTTACCAATAGCAGTGTGGCCTTGCTTTCATTTATTTTTATTTTTTTTAAGATTTTATTTATTTATTTGAGAGCGAGAGAGCATGAGTGGGGTAGAGGGAGACGGACAAACAGACTCCTGGCTGAGCAGGGAGCCCGACTTGGGGCTTGATCCCAGGACCCCAGGATCATGACCTGAGCTGAAGGCAGACGTGTAACTGACTGAGCCACCTGGGCACCCCTCTTTTTTTAAATTATTGTGATAAAATGTACATACCATAAAATTGTCCTTTTAACCTTTTTTGAGGGTACTATTCATTGGCATTAAGTACATTCATATTGTTGTGCAACCATTACCACCATGCATCTCCAAAAGTTTTTCATCTTCCCCAAATGAAACTCTTCCAGTTAAAAAATAACCTCCCAAGGACACCTGGGTGGCTTGGTCAGTTAAGCGTCTGACTCTTGGTTTTGGCTCAGGTCATGTACTCAGGGTCATGAGATCAAGCCCTGTGTGGGCTCCCTAGCAGGGAGTCTGCTTGAAGATTCTCCCTCGGTCCCTCCCCTCTCTTGTGCATGCATGCGTCCGCACGGCTCTCTCTCTCTCTCTCATATAAATAAATCTTAAAAAAAAAAAACAAAACCTCTCTGGGGCACCTGGATAGCTCAGATGGTTAAGGTCTGCCTTTGGCTCAGGTCATGATCCCAGGGTCCTGGGATTGAGCCCGACTGGGGGGGCTCCTGATTCAGCGGGGAGTCTGCTTCTCTGCCTCTCTCCCCTGCTCATGCTCGCTCTCTCTCAAATGAATAAATTTTTAAAAATCTTAAAAAAAAATAGTAACTCCCCATAACCCTAACTCGCAGCCCCTGGTACTCTCTATTCTACTTTCTTTCTCTATGAACTGGACTATTGTCAGTACCTTGTATAAGTTGAATCCTACAATATTGTTCCTTTGTGTCCAGATTATTTCACATAGCATAATGTTTTAAAATACATGCATGTTATAGCATGTATGAGGATTTCATTCCTTTTTAAGGTTGAATAATATTATATTTACATTATATATGTTTATGTTTATTATAGTCACATATTTGTATTTATAGTTTACATATTTTATATATTATGTTATATTTTTGTATATTTTTCATTATATATTTACATATTTTGCATATTTTATATTTTTGGTATATTTGCATTTTATATATATTCTATAACATTTTATATTATAAAATATATAGTTATATTTAATATAAATATAAAATATAAATATATGCACTTATATTTATTTGTGCTATAGTTTTATAATATATAATATATAAACACAACTATAATGTTATTCAGCCTTATGTATGTACATTTTGTTTTTCCATCTGTTGATGGATATTTGGGTTGTCCATCTTTTGGCTATTGTGAATCATGCTATGAACATTAGTTTACAAATATCTGTTCAAGTTTCTACTTTCAGTTCTTTGGGTATATACTCAGAAATGGAATTGCTGAATCATATGGTAATTCTGTGTTAAGCTTTTTGAGGAACCACCATACTGTTCTCTACAGTGGCTGCACTGTTTCGTAATCCCCTCAGCAATGAGCAAGGGTTCTAATTTCTTCAAAACCTCACCAACACTTGTGATTTCTATTTTTATTTTTTTGATAATAGCCATCCTAATGGATACGAAGTGGCATCTCATTATGGGTTTGATTTGCATTTCCCTAATGATGAGTGATGTTGAACATCTTGTCGTGTGCTTATTGGCCATCTTTATGTTTTCTTTGGGGAAATTTCTATTCAAATTCTTTGCCTAATGGTCATTTTTAATGCAGGTACATGCCTCTCTGCATATATATATTTTATAAGTCATATAAATATATTTATACTTTACCTTCAGATCTATGTCAGTTTTTGTTTTAAACACCATAATCAGGGCACCTGGGTGGCTCAGTCGGTTAAGACCTTCAACTCAGGTCATGATCTCAGGGTCCTGGGATTGAGCCCCACATCGGGCTCCCTGCTCAGTGAGGAGTCTGCTTCTCCTTCTCCCTCTGCCCCTCTGCCTGCTTGTGCATTCTTTCTCTCTCAAATAAATAAATAAAATCTTTAAAAAATAAACACCATAATCATATCCCATGGTACGATATATGATAATTAATGCTATAATGTGTATTTTGATTGGTTCCAGTTTTTACCTATGATAATCAGTTTGTAGTGGACAAGCTATCTCTCTTTCTCTTTCTGCATCGATGCCGGGATGCCGGGATTTCTCTTGGCTATAATCCTATGAGTTGCTGGTTTAAGGATAGGAGTTATTTAAAATTTTGTAGACATAAATTCCAATATCCCTAGGACACTCCCAACTACCAAAGGCCTCTAGTCATCCTTTGTCATCTGTGGCTAAGACAGTTTTTCTACCCAGTGCTGAGGAGGCCTGAACTTGGAGCCCAGATAAGATATACCCTAGAAGCCCTGCCTCAGCCTGCTGGTCTAACATGTTTTGAATTATTCCTGCCAACCCACATTATTCTCACAAGCTTAAAAACAGGCCTTGATATGCCTCTTGCAAAAAGATCCTCCCCAAAACCCCAACCCCCACCAAAACCCTTTGCCCTATCAAACTTCTCTAAGGGGGAGCATACCTTGTGGGAGTGTCCCTGCCCCAGGAGGAAATTTCCCTTCCCTTCCTGAACCCTCCAGCTCTCATCCCCTTCCTCTTGTGTACGATGTGGGGAGGCAATGGTCAGATGGATAGCTGCATCCCTCGTACCTGGGCTCTCTGTCGCTGTATACCCTGTTTAATTTGATGGGGTATTAATTAATATTAGTGTTACAGCATTAACATGCTGTATGTAAAATATGTTAAATGCTGTGTATATTTATAAAGTATATTGTATATGATATATACATATTAATTTTCATATCGTATACTATGTGTGTGTGTATATATATATATATATTTTTTTTTTTTTCCCTGTAAAACCTCACCTTGAACAAATTTGCCTCTTCTTAATCTTTCCCTCTCAGGTTGATAGCACCACTACCTACCCAGTTTATTGGTACTGTAAGGAGAGACTATTGCCATAGGCAGAACACTCCCACCCTAAAGTCTGGCACTAAAGAACTTTTCTTTTATAGGAAGGAGTTCAGAAGGCTGGGAAGTGGGACGAGTGGGTGGGGTGATAGGATTTTTTTGATCAGGGAGGTCAGCTGATTGTCAGGGAGGGGCTGGTAGAGGGTTGTTATGTCCCAGTGCTCAGGGGTAGGTTGGGGGAGGAGAGAAACCACCGAAGTTCAGTGAAGTCAAATTAAATTCAAAGGTATTTTATCTAGGTAGTTCAGTGGGGACGAACAGTTCAGCTACTCATTCATTAGACAAAAATGGGAATTTGGATAGTCTGTGCCTGGCCAGTAAGGGGTCATCCTCCTGTCTTAGATATCTAAGTCATATAGGGAAGGGTGTTTCATTGCATTTAGACATTTCCCAGAACACAAAAGGGCTGGGGGATTTCTTACCCATCACAATTTTCTAGGAGCACAGGGTTTGGGTGTGAAGCTCAACACTGTCAGTGTAAAGACTGGATCATTCTGTGGTTTCTCTGAGTTCTCTCACTGGCTGCACATCTTCTCTCCCCACATTTCATCCTAGTGTAAGTCCCTAGCAAATCCTTAGACGTTTCCTACAAAATGTATACAATCATCTCTGCTGCTTCTCCCTTCCCAAGGAGTCCCCGTTGTCACCTGGACTGTGCTGTTGGCCCTCACCACCCACCCCTGCTTCTACTCTTGCCTTCCCCTTTCTGTCCTTTGAGCAGCTGCCAGTTTTGATCTTTAAAAATACAAATAGGAATGGAAAACTCTTACAGAACTCCTGCGAAGCTGCCAATCAGAAGGTGTAAATTCAGATTCAATCTAGGCTTGTTTGCCCTGATCTTGACCTGGCTCCTGGCCCATCTGCCACCCTCTCCCATCACTTTCCTCTCCAGACACCCAGGTCACACCAAGCTCCCGCCATACCTGCATGGGCTTTCTTCCCTGTTGTGCACCTGCCTGGAGCTAGATCATGCCCTGGCCACTTTCACTTTCCTGAGGCCCTCTTCCTTCAGAGCTTCCAAAGGCTAGGAACAAGGTGGGAGTAGAGCCCAGGAGCCCTCCAATCTGCTTGCATCAGGGTTGGTGCCTGGGTTTGGGTTGTTTGGGGAATAATACATGATACCTTGCACCTTTTTATAAACTTGGGCAATTGACTTGCTAAACCTCTCTGAACTTGAGTACCCTTAACAGTCATGGGGGTTTGCTAGGCTTCCTCATGGGCAGCAAGGCCGACAAGGCTCTTTGCTGGCTGTGAGAGACAGGACTCCCCCGGCCTTTTAGGAAACCTGTGTGCATACGGCATTTGCTTTGTTTTCATGTGTGGTCATGGGTCTTGTGATGCAGCTTCCAGGCATGTGCTGGCTGGAGTCTAGAGCATATCCTGCCTCTCACATCCACCCTCTTGTCCTTCCTCTAGCTGTGCCTGTTCAAGACTACCTGTCTCCAGGAAGGGAATGTGGAGGCAGAAGTGATGGCTCAGGGTTGCTGACAATCTGGTTACAGGTAATCAGAAACCCCCTCTTTCCAATGTGACGTCTCCCTCCCTGAGGTTGGCCGTGTCTCCTTCTGGTGGCCTGGAGCCTTCCAACCTGACCAGGACTTGTCTCCACACTTCCTCAGGACCCTTAGCCTCTAATGAATGGTGGCTAAGGGACTTCCCAGAGAATGCTCAGTGTTTGTGAATTTTTTTTTCAGTGCCTTGTTCATATTAGCTCAGTAGTCACTTCAGAGCTGTGGCAGAAAACCAAGAAAGGCTATGAGATGACTTTGTCTCAGGAATTCATGGAGACATCATTCATTCATTTACTAAGTATTTGTCCCAGGCTTCCATGAGCTCAGGGCTGTGTGGCAATTCACCTAGGGGACCCAGGCCAGATGGGTTCACAGACTAGTTGAAGAGAGAAAAGTTCAACCACTTGTTGAAGAGCTAATAAATCGATGAGGCTAGACAAGACTGCTGAGGATGTGTGTGTGGAGAGAGATGAAGCGAGGAACCCTTTCTGCCCGCATCTGAATTTCCCACTTCTTGGTCTTCTGGTGCCATCCTCCTCACACTCTGCCTTCCTGGGACACTAATGGAGATGAGCTTTGGCTGAGCCTGAATGTGTGTGATGTTTCAGGATTCAGTGACCTTTGAGGAAGTGGTGGTGGACTTCTCCCAGGAGGAGTGGGCCGCGCTGGACCCTGCTCAGAAAATTAAGTACAGAGACCTGATGCTAAAGAACTACAGGAAACTGGCCTCAGTCAGCCTCATCTCTTCATTGGTAGATTTCTGCTGCAAATATTTTTTTAAAAGATTTTATTTATTTATTTGAGAGAGAGAGAGAGCACGAGAGTGGGATGAGGGGCAGAGGGAGAAGCAGACTCCCCGCCGAGCAGGGAGCCCGACGTAGGACTCAATCCCGGGAGTTCGGGATCATGACCTGAGTGAAAGGCAGACGCTCAACTGACTGAGCCACCCAGGCGCCCTGCTGCAAATATTTCTTAAGCATCTGTTACATTCCAGGAACTGTTTTTGGTCTTGGGAAAAGAGTAGTGAATTGGAGATGTGGCTCACTCTTGAGGAGTGACAGTGTAGAACAGGAGTGGCCACACTTTTCTTTTAAAGGCCAGAGAGGAAATGTTTCCTGCATAGTGGGCCATAGAGTTTCTGTTGCAATGACACAATGCTGCTAATGCAGTGCCTGGTGTAGTATGGTATGTAAACAGAGCTGTGTTCCAAAAAAAGTGTATTTACAAAAGCAGGTGGCTAACTCCGGGCTCTAGTCACTAATCCCTAGTCTAGCATCTTCCCTTGAGAATGAAGATTCATCTTTTTTTTTTTTTAAAGATTTTATTTATTTCTTTGAGAGAGAGAGAATGAGAGACAGAGAGCATGAGAGGGGGGAGGGTCAGAGGGAGAAGCAGACTCCCCGCCGAGCAGGGAGCCCGATGCGGGACTCGATCCGGGGACTCCAGGATCATGACCTGAGCCGAAGGCAGTCGCTTAACCAACTGAGCCACCCAGGCGCCCCTGAAGATTCATCTTTATGCCAACTTTATTTTCTTCATGATTAGAAGCTTTGGTGCTCCTGAAGTGCGTCTCTGAGCTTGGGGCTGGGGATCCCCAATCCCTACAGGGCATGATGTGAGGTAGTTTGTGTGAGTCCTGGGTACCATCACCTCATTGCTCATGGGGTCACACATGCCCATCCTCTGCAAGTGTTGCCCCCACTCTGAGGGGAAGTTGCCTTTTCATCCCTGCACATCCCCCTTGATGTGTCTTTCCCTGTGCACAGGTGTCATTTCCATAAACCCGACCTGCTCACCTAGGTAGAGCAGGAGGAGCTGGGGACCAAGAAAAAGAGAGTTCTGACTCTCTAAGAAACCAGTGTAGGTGAGCCCCAGGCAAAAGGAACTCCATTCAGGGAATTTCTAAAATGTCATGATTTTTAAAAAATTGAGGTATAGTTGACACACGGTGTTACATTAGTTTCAGGTGTACAACATAGGGGTTACACAACAAGTTTTTATTTTTATTTTTTTTATTTTTTATTTTTTATTTTAAGATTTTATTTATTTATTTGACAGAGAGAGACACAGTGAGAGAGGGAACACAAGCAGGGGGAGTGGGAGAGGGAGAAGCAGGCTCCCTGCGGAGCAGGGAGCCTGATGTGGGGCTCGATCCCAGGACCCTGGGATCATGACCTGAGCTGAAGGCAGTCGCTTAACCAACTGAGCCACCCAGGCGCCCTCACAACAAGTTTTTGTGTTATGCTATGCTCACCACAAGTGTGGCTACCATCTGTCACCATACACTGCTATTACAATGCCGTCTAAATGTTATCTTGTTTGAGAAATCATCTCAGGCCACTTGGGATGAATTTCTCTTGAAGCTTTGGCTTCGCTTCCTCTCCTTCTTCCTTTTCTCCCCAACTTTCTTTTGTTCCCAGAGAAAGCTCTCTCTGTCCTGCTTCCTTTTTTTCTGAACATTTCCACTTTTGTAAATAAAGTTTTATTGGAACATGACCCCACCAGTTTGTTCATTTTTCTACTGTCCCCAAACTTTGATAGTGCCCTCTGTCAGACTGTTAGCAGCCATTTCACTCTTGACAAAAACATTTCTTAGCATTTCCATCCCTTGTTCCTGTCACTGTCAAATTCTTCATATTGCTGAAATCCTTAAAGTCTGTCCAACTGCTGGGGCATTCTTCACTGTCACATTGACGTCTCATGTTTAGGGTCGGTCTATGAATAAAAGGTATATGGGCCTGGCTCTTCGTTTTTGTTTTTAATTACTTTATCTCATCATTTATTTCTCTAAGAACTTAAATGTTTGCCCTCCTCTCCCCCATTAATTTCAGATCAAAAGTTTCAACTTAAAGCCAAAAACAACACTGCAAAGCAGAATAAAGTTTGGAAAAAACACCTACTGTCAGAGAAATGGTAAGGCTCATGAGGGCACATTGCTGGTTCTCTGCAGAAGAAGTCTGGGATTGCTGTGTTATGGAAGAAGAGCATGACCACCATGGGGAGACACTTGGGTCCGGTGACCTTCACCCAGAAGAAGTTGTTTCTTAGGAGAGAGTCTCTGAGTATCATGACTTTGGGGAACATTCTAAACCAATTTTAGTATTTATTTATGGAGAGTTGCTGTAAGTAAGCAGATCCATTAATATGACTTAATGAATTTTGACATATAATTCAGTTTTTAAGTATTTATCAAGAAAAATCTACATAAGCAGCTTTAGAATGTTGTGACTATGATGGGACCTTGTGGCAGAGCATTCACCTTACTTAAAATTCGGAAGAACTCAAATAGGGCAGGAGCGGTACATGTGCTCTGAAAATGGTAGTAATTTCTCATGTAGGAATTTGCTTTTTATAGTGCAGACTTTTTTTTTTTTAAAGATTTTATTTATTTATTTGACAGAGAGAGAGAAAGCGAGAGCAGGAACATAAGCAGGGGGAGTGGGAGAGGGAGAAGCATGCTTCCTGCTGAGCAGGGAGCCCGATGTGGGACTCGATCCCAGGACCCTGGGATCATGACCTGAGCCGAAGGCAGACGCTTAACGACTGAGCCACCCAGGCGCCCCAGTGCAGACTTTTTTTTAAGATTTTATTTATTTGTCAGAGAGAGAGAGCACAAGGAGGAGTGGCAGGCAGAGGGAGAAGCTACCGACTGAGGCTACCCACTGAGCAAGAAGCCTGATGTGGGACTTGATTCCAGGACTCTGGGATCATGACCTGAGCCAAAGGCAGATGCTTAACAGACTGAGCTACCCAGGCATCCCTAGTGCAGACTTTCTGTGGTGGTGGGGAATCCCCATGAGTGCAATTAAAGTGAGAAAGCCTTTAATTATTGCTTATCCCTTAACCAACAGGCACTAACTCAACCCAGAGAGAAACCCCATGAATACAGTTTGTGTGGAAAAGCGATCAGAAGCAATTCTAACCTTGTTTGGCCCAAGAGAAATTACACAGGAGAGAAATGAAATGAATGTAAAGAATGTGGGAGAGTGTTTAGTTATCCTTCATCCCTTCAGACCCATGTGTGATCTCATGCTGGCAAGAAACCCTGTGAATGTTTTCAGCGTGGGAAAGCTCGTGGGTCATCACTCGTCCTTTATGACACATGTGCGAATCCACACTGGAGAGAAACCGTATGAGTTTAACCAATGTGGGAAACTCTTCAGATCCAGCTTGAGCCTTGCTATACTCAAGAGGATACACAATGGGAGAAGCTGTATAAATGCAATGACTGTGGAAAGGCTTCGTCAGGAGCAGGAACCTGACCATGCATAAGAGAGTGCACACCAGGGAGGGACTATCTGTGTGAAGATTGTGGCAAAGCCTTTAGCAGGAGATTGCATCTGATGGCACACATGAGAACCCATAATGGGGAGAAGCTTTACCATTGCAGCAACCATGGAAAAGCCTTCAATAGGAGCTCTAACCTGACTGCTCACAAGAGGGTACATACAGGGGAGATTTACCAGTGCGGCTACTGTGGGAAACTTCAGGAGTCACCCATCCCATAAGAAACATGTGAGTGCTCACAGTGGAGAGAAGCCCTAGGATTAGAATCACATGGGAAAGCCCCAGTTGATCTCACATGTGAGCAACTCTGTGAATATTGTTAGTGTAAGAAAGCCCTCCATGGGGACTTCAGTTCCTGCACAAAGAAATTCAGGGTAGGAGAGAAACCTTATGAGCGTTATAAATACGGAATTGCTTTCTTCAGGGTCTTATCCTCAAAATGGAAGTCTAACTCATTAGTTTTCAGATCGTATTTGTGAATAAAAGCATTTAAGGCCATAGATATCCTCTCAATATCCCTTTAGCTACATTACATGGGTTTCGACCTAAGGTATTTTTATTTTGGTTTAATTCTAAATACTGTTTCTATTAGATGTATTTTAACTCACAATGTTGATTTCCTTTTTGAGCCTATCAAAATACAACTTGATTCAAATTTCACCTGAACTCTCTCCTTCCCCCAGATTTTATGATATCCATAGGTCTTCCTTTGTTTGGTAGGATACCCATGGTTCCTTAGGTGTGTGGTCTCCCTTGTTGCAATGAGCCAGTAAACCTGACTTTGTTAGACTATAGATTTTGTCCCGGTAGTCTTTGGGTGATTGTGTTGGGGCAATAACATGCAGTCATAAATATGTTCTACTCTCTTGTCCTCTAAAGTGTTTCTAAAAAGTCCTTCTGAAATGTCTTCTAAAATATTTTGTTTTCCATTATTGATTTTTTTATATGTAGTATCAGGAGGGGTCCAATTTAATTTCCTCCCTGGTAGATAACCAGTTTTCCTAGAACTCTAATCTGAAAGTCAGTCCCCGTTTGAAGTTTCTGTGTGCATGTTTTTATGTTTCTGGGCCTTCCATTCTGTTATAATCAAATTTGTTAATCCTGTACCAATATAGCACCATCTTTAATAACTTTATTCTATTTTTTAACATCTGAGAGACAGATCCCTACAACTTGTTCTTCAAGAGTAGCTTCTCTCTTCTGTGCCTTTCATTTCTTCATATGTATTTTATAATAAGCTTACACAATTCCACAAAAAATCATATTGGCATTTCATTAGATCAGTACTGGTAGAATTGTTAAATCTTTCAGGCCTTAAACTCAATATCTTCATTTATTTAGTCATTCTCTAATGTCTTTCAGTAAAATTTTATACATTTTATAAATATATATATTTAAAATGTTATTTTCTTAAAAATATGAAGTGTGGACATTGGCTTCTTAGTATCTAAAAAAAGCATTTATATTGACAAACATGGGTCTTTTTTTTTTTTTTAAAGATTTTATTTATTTATTTGACAGAGAGAGACACAGCGAGAGAGGGAACACAAGCAGGGGGGAGTGGGAGAAGGAGAAGCAGGCTCCCCGCTGAGCAGGGAGCCTGATGCGGGGTTTGATCCCAAGACCCTGAGATCATGACCTGAGCCGAAGGCAGACGCTTAATGACTGAGCCACCCAGGCACCCGACAAACATGGGTCTTGAGGGAAAAGAAGGACCAGAAAAAAGCAGCCTCCAACATTCAGGGAACATGCATTGCTGGTGGGATTGTAAAATGATGTGTGGTCATTTTGAAGAAGTTTGGCGATTTCTTAAAATAAATTTACCATTTGACCCCCAAGAGAATGAAAAAGATATGTCCACACAAAAACTTGCCCACAAATGTTCATAGCATGTTTCATAATAGCCAAAAGAGGAAACCCTGAAAGTCCATCAACTGGAAAATAAGTAAATAAAATCTAGCTATCCATACAATGCACTATTTGGCAATACAAAGAAATGAAGTTCTGATACATGCTACAACATGAATGAACTTTAGAAACATGCTCAGTGAAAGAAACCAGTCACAAGGGACCGCATATTGTATGATTTCATTTATATGAAATATCCAGAATAGGGAAAGGCATAGAGACAGATAGTAGGCTCGTGTTTGCCTGGGCTGGGGTTGGGAACCTGATTAAACAGGCGTGAAGGATCTTGTTGGGTTGATAGTAATGTTTCTAAAACTGGTTTGTGCTTATAGTTGCACAACTACGTTCACTAAAAATCATTTGAATTATACATTTAAAATGGTTGAGTTTTATGGTATGTAAACTATATCTCACTAAAACTATTATAGAAGGAGATTCCATTGTGCATTCATTTTGATAAATCAAGCTACAGTCTCCATTGTGGTAGGATATGTCCATAATACTTAGCTTTGAAGTCATCTTTGCAATAGTGGTGTTCCTTGTAGGGGACAATAGCATGATCTTTTCTCAAATGATGTGTGAGTTCAACTGATGAATCCTTTTTGGAGTAGGTGCATGACTGAAGAGTATGACCCTCTTTAGCTCATTTATTGGGATTCAGGTGAGGTATTTATTTAGCTTGGAGATGTCGTCTTTTTCAGGGTCTTCCTCCTTTTACTCAGTAGTTTCAATGCCACACTTCCTAATTTGGTTCTCTTCCTTGTGTTCTTTAAAAGCCTTGTTGGACTTTTTGTGAGACCTTGAATGCTTTTCTTTCGTAGGCTGTGGGTAATTCAAACTAAAGCGGGATGTAAGGTTTCTGGAGAAGGGCTAGAGGTATATGTATCTTGTGGTCCTTATAGATTATAATTCTCTTTGTGTGTTGAGTTTGGCTTGTAGCAAACTTGCTATATTCTTATTCTAATAACTGATGTGTAGCTCTTTTGAGGTTTTCTGTAGATAATCATATCTACCAATACAGGCAGATTTCCCCTGCTCCTTTTTAATTTGTATACCTTTCTTATGCTTTTGTTGCCCTCTGGCTGGGACTTGAACCATATTGACTAGAAGCAGTCCTAGGTATTCTTTTTTTTTTTAAAAGATTTTATTTATTCATAAGAGACAGAGATGGAGAGAGGCAGAGGGAGAAACAGGCTCCCAAGGAGCAGGGAGCCCGATGCGGGACTTGATCCCAGGACCCTGGGATCATGACCCGAGCCGAAGGCAGACGCCCAACCATCTGAGCCACCCAGGCGCCCAGTCCTACGTATTCTTGTCTTCTTCCTGATCTTAAAGGGCTTTTTTTTTTTTCATATTTCATCTTTAAGTGTGGTGTTCTCTGTAACATTTTTATAGATAACTTTACTAGGATGAGAAAGTTTCTTTCTTTTTCCTAGGATGTTGGCATCCTTTCTCATGAACAGATGTTGAATTTTATCAAATGTTTGTTCAGCATCTCCTGAGATGATTATATTTGTTCACTGATATATTTCAAAACTCCTAGAACAATGGTAGGACACATGGTAGGCACTCAATAAGTATTTGTTGAATGAATGAGTGAATGAATACATGTAACATCTCTAACATGTTTGTGTGGTAAATTACTTTAATTGATTTTTCACTGTGAAATTAACTTTGCATTCCTGAATAACTTGGCCATCACATATTAGTTACACATCATTGTTCCTGGCTTCCTAATATGTTAGGATTTTTGCATCTTTGAGTAAGATTGGCCTGCTGTTTTTCTTTCTCATGTTGTCCTTTTGTTATTGTTTCAAGAATATGGTGGCCTTATAATACTGGTTGGGAAAATTCTCCCAAAGTCCATTCCTTCACCTAGATTCACCAGTTGTCAACATTTTTTGACAGTTACAGCTTTTTTCATTTGTGTATAATTTTATTTTATGGGTGAGCCATTACAGACATGAGACTTCTTTAACATTTATCCTAAGAACAAGGACATTGTCAGGAACTCAAAGATCTGAGATTTCCCCCTACTTATAGGTTAACAAGTTAGCCTGCCACAGTTTCATGGATGTTGGCCAAAGACACCAGACTTCTGGGTCAGAGACCAAGGACTTTATTACAGGACAGGAGGCAGTACAAGCTTCATATTGCTGTCAATTCCTCTTGACTCCCAAGTCCTACAGGGGTGACATGAAGTGGGTTTGTATCACAGCTTGGAGCCCCAAGCTTTTCTAAGGAGCTGCAAACAAACGTGCTTGTTCTTTGCCCCAGAGGGAGACATTATCTTTATTACACTGAACAACAAAAAACCTGCCCTCTGCTCTAAGGATGTTATATAAACATCCTTGGAGACATAGTCCAGAACAGAGTAAGATGTGCACACGTGAGCTACCCATGAAGAATTGCCTTCCCACAGACATTTTCCTCTGTAATCAAAATATCATTAATACACTGATGAAATTTAGCATTAACAAAATAATGTTACTAGCACACAAACTATAATCAAATCCCTCCCATCCCACAAACATCCTTTATTGAGGATTTGGAACATAATTTAGTTATGAAAATGATTTTAAGAAATCTTATGTGTGAAGCTCTGGGATAATAGACATGTAATAGAGCCATTTGGCAAAAGTCACTTTTTCAACTCAAAAGAATCAGGGCAGAAACCACACAGAAAAGTCATATATTTTTTTCTTCCACAAAAGAAGGTGTGAAAGCCTTCATAAGCACTCATCCTTGTATGCAACATGTGAGGACAACACTGGAGGAAAGTCCTTTTAGTATAATGAATATGGAAGGTCTTCAGGTATGGATCTTCACTTGCTATTCACAAGAGAACTTGTTCTGAGGGAGAGAGGCTATGTCCATGTTGTGAACATGGCATTGCCTTTGTGCTTACCCCTAACTCATTAATTTGTTTTTTTCTTTCATAATATAAATACTCAAGAATACTCATATCCCTCAAAATGCCCTCTAAATTTTTGAACAAGCTGTGATAGGTAATATTTGTATTTATTATGGCTCGGTTGTAAATATTGTCTCATTTCCATTTTGATGACTTCTTGGACTCATGGGTTGTTCGGGAATATGTTTTCAAGATGCAGTGCCAGGAGTTCTTTGTTGCCTTGTTTTTCATTTCCCATTTAACTGCCTTGTGGTCAGAGTCAGTGATATATGTAGGATATGGATTCTTTGGCATTTGTTGGAACTTTCTCTCTAGCCCAGTGTAGCAGACACTGCTGGCTGCCTCTATATCCATTCTCCTCATTCTTCTTACTCTCAGAACTTGGATTTTGCTCAATTTGTTAATGTTTACTATAAAAACAAAACAAACAAACCAACCAAAACCAAAAACAAAAACCCAAGCAGCTCTCTCTCTTATTCTTTCTTGAAGGAGTGGTCATGTCCCAGAGCTCTGGCCCGTGGCAGGTAGGCAGAGTCACTGGTGTAGCTTCTGGGAAAGCTCTTGAAAAGGAGACAGTCCCATGCTTGTTATTTTCACTTTTTGTTCATGGTCCTTCCTCCTCCTTTCTGCCTAGAACCTGGATACAGAACCTGGAGTTGGAAGACCTTACTCTGTAACCTGTAGGCAGAAGCCACAGGTAGAGATGGTGCAGCCAGAACATAGGGCTCCTTGCTCCCCAGGGGGTTTCTTGAGTGACTACAGCAGTCCTGAACTGCTTATTTCTAGACTCATGTTACATGAGAAAAGAGATACTCTTTTAAAACAAAGTCCTTACTGTAGTTTCATAGTGGGGGAGCTATCAGAAATTTGTGTGGCAGCCATGAGAACCTGCCCCTTAGGTATCTACCTGGGGGCTTAGTTGGCCAATGGCCCTGGTTGCTACCCATCCCAGGACCTACCTTTGGTGTTGTGCTAAGACTACTCCTAGCAGTGACTAAGCATGGCAGGAGTAATAGTGCAAGCCCATTCCTCTGGGTAGTAGGGCTCTTCTAGTGATGGCTGTTGCTCAAGAACACTCCACTGGCCTGGCCCAAACTTGGCTAGACTGTGCTGAGGTTTGAGACTCTCCCTACCCACTCCTCCTTGGCCCTTCCCCCTTTTTCCTGATTGAATTTAACAATAAATATCAAAATATCAATATAAGTCCTTGATGACCTTGTCAAAATTGGTTCTGTGACCTACTGCCCACAAAAGCCCGATTGAAATGGGTTCAGGACAAACTAGGAGAAAAATTGGAGATAGTAAAGAGGAGGATTTTTTAATCTTTATTTAATCTAATTAACTTAGTATTATTAGTAAAGTCATGCCAGTTTTTTTTATTAGTATCTGTTATGTATTTCTCAATTCTTTTCATTTAAACCTGTGTACTTAAGCTTAGATGTGTCTCTTGTAAATAGGATGTAGCTGTATAAAAAAATCCAATCTGAAAATATCTTTTAGTTTGTAAACCAGTCTAGTCTTTTATTATGATATCTAATATTTTGGATTGATTTCTACCACCCTAATAGTTGTGATTTCTGTTCTGTATATTTCTTTGAAAAATGGGAAATAGAGAAGATGTGATGAAAATATGCATGTACAGTTAAAGATCAATAAACTTGTACCCTCAACCAAGCCAAGAGATAGAAGATTGCTCTACCTCAGAAGTCTTATGTGTGAGATCTTCATGATTATTCTCAAGATGAAATTAACTATTGTGATTCTTAAATTTATTAATTTCTTGCATGACAACATCTTGCCAAGGGTTGGGGGAAGGATAACATGAAGGTTTCTTTGTAGAGATGGAATCATTTTGTATCCTGATTATGAGAATGGTTACCTGAACCTATCTATATATGTGATAAGAAGTGATAAAAAGTCAACTTTATCACTCATATATTACCCACAGAACTCTATTATCTCCCCCCATAAATGAAAAGAGTGCAAATAACAACAGATAAGATCCAGATGAGGTCTATAGATGAATTAATAGTATTGTAGCAATGCCAGTGTCCTGGTTTGAGAATGTACTATGGTTATGTTAAGATATTATCATTGGGGGAAGCTGAGTGAAGAGTACATGGGAACTCTGTACTATTTTTGCAACTTCTTGTGATTCTGAAACTATTTCAAAATAAAGTTACTAAAAAAAAATCAAGAAGGGAAAAACATTATGTAAGTGAATAGCATGTTTATCCATTCTCATGTGACATACTTTTGCTCACACATTTTTTTTTTAAGATTTTATTTATTTACTAGAAAGAGAGAGAGAGAGCACAAGCAGTGGGAGTGGCAGGCAGAGGGAGAAGCAGGCTCCTCGCTGAGCAAGGAGCCCGATGCTGGACTCGATCCCAGGACCCTGGGATCATGACCTGAGCCGAAGGCAGACGCTTAACTGACAGCCACCCAGGTGTCCCTTTGCTCACACAGTTTTGACGTTTATTTGTGTGTCTCATGTAGTTGTAGTTAATTTATTTAATTGTTGCATAGGGACCTTTTGTATGAATATACCACAGCTTATTTATCCAGTCTAGAGTAGATGGACCTCCTTAGGTTGTTTGCAGCTTTTATCCATTATGAATAATGCTGCCATAAACATTGTTGCACATCTCCCTTGTTCATATATATTAAATTACTCTAAAACTGAACTCGCTGGCTATAGAATCTGTATGCTAAAATTTGTTTTGTGTTTTATGTTTTTTCTTGTATTTTATATTTCTGAGTAGTTAGGAAATGGTATCTCATTGTTTTAATTCATGTTTTGCTGATTACTATTGAGAATGGGCATCTTTTTATAATATTGGCTAGTTTAAATTTCCCCTTGGGCATTACCTGTACATGTTTTTGCTGGGTGTGATAACTTTGATACCAATTTTTACTTCTGTTTGTAAATGTCCCTCTCTTTATGGTGTCTCGATGGCAGAGATTCTGAATTTTAGTCAAATTTATTAGTCTTTTCCTTTATGGTGTGAGTTTTTGTGTCTTGTTTAAGAAATCCTTCCCCAAACAAATGATTATAAATGTGTTTGGCTTCAGTGTCTTCTTCATTTTTTGAAGTTCAGTTTCACATTTAAATTCTTGGGGTGCCTGGGTGGCTCAGATGGTTAAGCGTCTGCCTTCGGCTCAGGTCACGATCCCAGGGTCCTGGGATGGAGTTCCGCATCGGGCTCCCTGCTAGGCGGGGAGCCTGCTTCTCCCTCTGCCGCTGCCTCTCTCTTTCTCTCTCACTGACTCTCATGAATAAATAAATAAAACATTTAAAAAAAATAAATTCTCTATTTTTGTTTGTGACAGAACATGACAAATTTGTTGATACGGTTTTAGATTCCACATTGTAACTAATCTTTAAGAAATGACCACTTATTAATTTTGGTTCAGTATCAAAGAAGACTGTCCACAATTCTCTGAAAAGGCTGTAAAAATGCTCTTCTCTTTTCCATCTATGTGTCTTTGTGAAGCTGAATTTCTTCATATACTTCAATTAAAACAAATCACAACAGATTGATTGTAGAAGCAGATATGAGAGGCCAGCTGTTTATCTGTTAAGCAGACATTAAAGTTATGCAAAAATGTCAAATAATGCCACTCTTCTCTCTAAATTTTCTGGTTTGGCAAATGTTCTTATATTTTCAAAATAAAAATGTTATTTATGTTTACATGTAATGGTTTATTGTTATTTTTAAAAGATGAGCAAATAGTAATAAATTTTTTAAAATTCCATTTTAACATTAATGTTGATGTTTAACACCTTAAAAAGATATGAGCAGAACTTTAAGATATTTTACAGAAATGAGAGAAACTTATTTCAGAAGAATAGGTAAAGAGATCAAGACAAGATTTTGTATGTCTAAGAATCAACTGAAACAATATTAAAGTTCATAAATTTCATTAGTAAAATAGATTATATAAAAATACAAATGGTTTTTCTATTACCTGGTATAACCAGTTGGATATGTTAAAAATAACAGAAAAGAAAAAGATTTCACATGTTGAGATATAAAATTAGACCTGAAATTAGATGAATGAAAAAACATAATTTCTCAGGAATAGTCATGGAAAAGTATATTAAAATAATACTGAGACATTATTTTACTCCCATCAGGATGGCAAATATTTTTATTTTAAAAATATTTATTTATTGGGGTGCCTGGGTGGCTCAGTCGGTTAAGTGTCTGCCTTCAGCTCAGGTCATGATCCCAGGGTCCTGAGATGGAGTCCCACATTGGGCTCCCTGCTCAGCAGGGAGTCTGCTTCTCCCTCTGCCCCTCTCCCCTGCTTGTGATCTCTCTCTCTCTCAAATAAATAAAATCTTAAATAAATAAAATATATGTTTGGTTTTTCTTTAAAGTAAGCTCTACATCGAACATGGGGCTTGAACTCATGACCCCAAGAGCAAGAGTTGCATGCTCCATTGACTGAGCCAGCCAGGTGCCCCAGGATGGCAAATATTTTTAAAATTCAATGATAGGCTTGTGGGAAAACTGATATTTTATTACACAAATAGGAGTGGGTGTAAATGGTAACAACCACTTTGGAGGATAATTAGATGTATTTTAAAAATAAAAATCAGCATACCCAGTGACCTAGCACTTCCCCTCTTGATATCTAGTCTAGAAACACATATACCACAAATACCACAAGGATTATCTATCTATCATCTATCTATCATCTATCAATCTATATCATCCATCAATCAGTCATCTATCAATCTATATCCTCTATCTTTTGATCATCTATCCATCATCTATCATATTAGTTAAGGGAACTCCAGCTGCTGAAGCAGATAAGCCCTGAAGTCAGTGTTAGCATTAAAGGTGGTGATATGTGGATGAATTATAACTATTTTTTGTATTCTTTATAATATTCTAAACATGGAATTGACAGGATTTTGTGGCAGATTACATGTGGGCTATGAGAAAAGGAAAAAAATGAAATATGACCCTAAGGATTTCAGCTTGAGCAACTACAATAATGGAATTGTCATTTATTGAAATGGGGTAAAGCAGGAACAAGTGTTGGGGGGAAATAATGAATTTAGTTTTGGGTGTCTCAAAATTAAGATGACCATCACACAGCAGTGGAGATGTTTAGTAGGCATTAACCGAATGCCAAGGTTTGAACAGTATCCCAAGTTAATCATAATTTTTTAAAAACCCTTTTTATTTTGAAATAATTTTAGACACAATAGTGTTGCTGTGGAGCCTCCTTGGGAGCTTCCTGGGTGTAATCTGAAACCAGCCCCTGTACTCTAAAGGAAGGGAGAGATGAAAAAAGAGGCAAACCATAGGGGGGTGGGGGGATGGGGTAACTGGGTGATGGACATTGGGGAGGGTATGTGTTGTAATAAGCACTGGGTATTATATAAGACTGATGAACCACAGACCTGTAACCCTGAAACAAATAATACATTAAATGTTAATTAATTGAATTTAAGTTAAAAAAATTAATTAAAAAAGAGGCAAACCATTTCAGATTGGTAGGTGTCAGTTTTAAAGATTTTACTTTTTTATTTTTTTAAAGATTTTTTATTTATTTGAGAGACAGAGAGAGAGAGCATGAGCAGGGGAGGGGTAGAGGGAGAGGGAGAAGCAGACTCCCTGATGAGCAGGGAGCCCAACAGAGGGATCAATCCCAGGATCCTGGGATCATGCCCGAGGTGAAGGCAGAAGCTTAACTAACTGAGCCACCCAGGTGCTCCAAGTTTTTACTTTTAAAGTAATCTTTACACCCAACATGGGGCTCAAACTCACAACCCTGAGATCAAAGAGGTGGCAGTTTTTTTTTTTTTAAAGATTTTATTTATTTATTTGAGACAGAGAGAATGAGAGACAGAGAGCATGAGAGGGAGGAGGGTCAGAGGGAGAAGCAGACTCCCCGCCGAGCAGGGAGCCCGATGCGGGACTGGATCCCGGGACTCCAGGATCATGACCTGAGCCGAAGGCAGTCGCTTAACCAACTGAGCCACCCAGGCGCCCTAGGTGGCAGTTTTAATGAGCAAGGGAATTTACTTGAGTCTTGTTGTAGGCAGACTCAAAACAAGTAGTTTTCAGCACCCACCTGCCAAATCTTAAGTTTGTACAGAGACCTTAACGGGTTCAGACGAGTATACAGTCTAGGTAGTTTCAACATCACATTTCTATCTCAAGGCTGTATCCTTAGGGCAGCTTCTGAAAATGGGGAAAGCAAGTGGAACATGCATTTCAAGGACAGGGGAAAGGGTGAGGAGCCTCCAACTGCCCAGGCCAGCTCTTGAGTCAACAAGTGGTCACATCTTGATGACCTCACCTAACAGAGAAATTACAAAATTAGTACACTCAGCTTCCCTTAGTGACAACATCTTACATAACCATGGTATAATAGTCAAAACCAAGAAGCTGACATTGGCATAATATTATTAAACTATAGACCTTATTCACATTTCACCAGTAGAATAATTTTTATTTAATAATTCTGTTAAATGATTAATTTGAGAGTATGTTACTGAAACCCAAGTTTGGCTACCTCTTGCTTGAAAAGCCAATACTCAAGAAATGAATTGTTGTCTTT